GTGTGTGTGTGTGTGTGTGTGTGTGTGTGTGTGTGTGTGTGTGTGTGTGTGTGTGACAGCTGCTGGTTCTCCACTGAGCTCTGTTGTTAGCAGGACAAACTGCAGCTCTGATTCCAGCCCAACGCCCACTCTGCTGTCAGACTGGTTCAGCAGAAAACACACGCGCACAAGTGTCCTCTGTGGCTCTGTGTGTGTGTGTGTGTGTGTGTGCTGGTTTCATTCAACCAAATAATTCAGGAAACAAACATAAAAAAGTAATTTTATTGGTTATTTTATAGCCCTTCACAGTGATCGACTCGGGTTTTAAACGGATTTTCATTTGTTTTTTTGTCAGTTTTTACTTCTAAAACAGAAATTAAAATGTAAAAAAATGTGTGTGTGTTGGAGGTGGTCTGCCCCTCAGGTGTTTCTCTGAGGAATGTCTGTCTTATGAGGCGTGTGGCGGCAGGATTTAACTTCTGCAGCTCTGCATGTAGCTGTTACTAAAGAGGGAAAAAAAGACGCACCACACACAACTCGATTTTTTTGCACATTTCCTTGAAATTTACGTGCAGCCCTGTCTTATTTTTTTAAATAATTTGCTACATCTTGTCAACCATTTCTTTAAAAAAGTAATCAATTAAATTTCCAGGGTAATAATCCACAGGAAGCAGACAGTTCCTGCAGCCCTCGCTGCGTTTTGGGGAGGTTTTACGCACAGCCGTGCCAACAACAATCCCTGGCACGGTGCTCCTTAATGGAGGGTGGAGGAGGAGGGGGGGGGGCGGATCTGTTGTGCCACACAGAAAACAGGAGTGACTCTGGTTTGATCCAACCAGAGCCTCTGCTCGTGTTTCGGTTGAACAACCGGATCTTCTCAGCAGGTCGGAACAGGTAAGGCGCTGCGGTCCACGCCCATCTCCTGCGAGGCGGAAGTAGATGTCAGCCTGTTGGAAAGKGATCCGAAAATGCACGCGTTTGTCTGAACTTTGACTTCACTTTTTAAAATTTATTTACTGTTTTTATTTTTATATATGAAAAATACATTTCTCCAAAAAGGAGATTCCGGGTTTGGAGAACATGCGGCTCTGTGGATCAGGCGCGCTTCTCCTCGTGGGTTTTTTACTTTCCACGACTTTGGACTCCACAGGTGAGGAAATAAAACTCAAAATGAACTGTTATTTTTTAAAGATTTTGACTAAGAACAGACCACTTATCAGTCTCATTTGAAAATRTGGCTTTATTTTTTTCAATAAGAGAACAATAAAAGCGCAGCTTGGACTTAGATTGAGCAGTTTTGAAAAATACCGCAATAAAGGTCATTAATTGGATATTGTTTTATTCAAAACAAAGACTCCATTAGTTTTGTCTTTTCAAATGCTTTATGAGGCGTTTATGGAGCTTCCTGGAGGCATGAATTCATCCCAGCTTCATTAATTATTGACCAGCAATCTGCTGCTGAACCATGAATCTGCCGGCTGTTTTATGACATCATTTAAACTCTGAGCCATCTTTCCTTTAGTCTCACTTTACCTTATTTAAACTGATTTAAACTGTTTTTTTATATTTTAAACTGCATTGACCTTGTGTTTGATTTACAACTTTAAAAATTATTTTTTTGATTTGATGTTTTCAATTTTCATTGCTTAGGTTTATTGTGTTTTTCTGTTTAATTTTATTCTTTCCACCATTTTTATGCTGTTAATGATTGTACKGCACCTTGTGAATATATTTCTGTGAAAGGCGCTTTATAAATAAAACTTTACTCACTTATTTACTGTTTTACAGTAATCGGTGAATTAAAATCAAAGATTTTTGCTTCCACGCCCACTGTTTATTGTCACAAGAGATGGCAAAGTCTGCATTTTTTGTTCCTTTTGTTGGTTTTTTGTTTCAAGTTTAGGTCAGTAGGTCTGATTTTGCTGCTTTCAGTTTCCAACCCAGAGGCTGTAAAGTTTTCAGACTGATGGTTTTTATCCAAGGCTTGAAGAAGAGTGGACGGTTCTAACAGTTTGTTCACACCAAACAATGGGAACCGGATTAAAACGGCTTGAATCAATGAACCCAACCTGCTCAGTGCTTCAGTGTTGTGCTCCTCATAAAGCTTCGAAGCTGACCCCGTRTTAGATATGATGAAGTCCGTAAGATAAAGAGTTTCTGAAACTCCCTCCTCTGAATCCGGTTTAGTCTTGGGGAACTGGAAGAACAGGAGAGGACCGTGCAGATGGAAAATCTTCATGCGCGACGCAATGCAGCCATGTCAACACAGAGCAGAACGTCTGAGGAATCTTACTGACATCTTAAGAAAAACATGACCTTAGTGTGTGTGAGGGGCAAACAAAGACCTGACTCAATCCGCTGGAGGGAGCTGACGGACTGASRGACGGCATGGGAACTGACAAATGGCCCAAATCTAAGGTTTGGGAAAACTCTAAGCACACTGGTTGGAGTCCTAACTGGGCACAATCTGCTCAACCGCCACAAAATGGAGATGGGACTCAATGCCACTGGTCTGTGCGACGCCTGCATTGAATTAGAGACATCTTTGCACTACTTAGACCAGTGGTTCCCAAAGTTGGGCTAGGGACCCAATTATGGGTCATGAAGCACCTTGGATAATCTCCAGAAATCAATTTAAAGGAT